TTTGAGCCCAGTATATAGTCCCATCTATATGAAGGAAAAGAAAAAAAAAAAATCTGGATTAAAAGAAAAGACAAGTCATATATCTGTTCTGAAAGTGAAGAAAATCACCACACTCACAGAGCATGAAGCAGTGGAGGGTCTACAGAGGAATTCCCGTCCAGGAAGAGGAAACCACAGTCTAACAGAAACCCATCCTCCCCCTCCCCCTGCACCTGCCCTGGTTTGGGCCCCTGAGCAGTGTGGTCCTGAGCACCCCCTGCAGCCCAGCCCTCTCCTGGCCTCCCTGGAGGGAGGTTTGTGTCTGGGATCCCAGTGACTTCTCCTCACTGTGTATCTTGCACAGTAATAGGTGTCTTTGTCTTTGTCAGTCACGGAGTTCAGCTTTAAATAAACTTGGCTCTTGGAGGTGTCCCCGGTGATGATTACTCGGGATGCCAATGTTGGGTTATAATTTCTGCTTCCACCACTCCATATTGCACCGACCCACTCCAGCCCTTTTCCAGGAGCCTGCCGGGCCCAGTTCACACCATAGCTGCTTAAAGAGAATCCAGAGACTGTGCAGGTGAGAGACAGGGTCTGTGAGGGCTGCACCAGTCCTGGGCCCACCTCCTGCAGCTGCACCTGGGAAAGGACACCTGGGGACAAGGAGAACCACAGTGAGTCATGGGCTCAGAGGCAGCACCCCCAGCCCTTCCTGTCTGCATCCCTTCAATACTCACCTGAGGGAGTTGCCACCATCAAGAGGAAAACCCACATGTGCTCCATGGTCTCGTGGATGAGGCCCGTGATTCCAGAGAACGTTCTCCAGAGTCAGGAGGACCCTGAATTTAAGCACATGCCCCCTGTGTTTCACCTGGATGTCTGAGAGGGAATTTGCATGGGGGAGGAGCCTTTGTCTGTAAGAGGGACTAAGGGAGGCTCCTGTCTCTGGGGCTCATTGTGAGAAAGGTGTTGATGGGGCCCTTTCCCCTCCCCCTGGGATTTTCTTCCACAATAAAGCATACTCTGATCAGGAATCCCGATGCAACCAAGGACCAAGGAGAGATCTGAGAATTGGCTCAAAGGGATGCATAAATGACAGCTTAGAGACAGACAGACAGACATGATGATAGACAGACAGAGGTAGAGAGATAAATAGGAGATAGATAGATAGTGGCAGATGACAGATGGACAGGAAATATTAAATACAAATCCAGGGTTTACTAAATTGTCACAATCCTATCCATTTCACACCTCCATTGTCTCATGTTCAAATTATTGAATATC